GATGACCTGGTAACTCTAATACATGACAGAGCTTTTTGGTCTAGTAGCATCATGGCGAATACCTCTTTTCAGCAACTGGGACAGTGTTTGCTAGCAAAAGGCCTGATCAACATGATGCTTGTATGGTCAACTGATCAAAGCCATGATTAGAAGTGCAGTGCTGGCACTGGAGTCCTCTCTTGCTGGCTGCGTCTGAAACCGTGATCATCTGCAATAAATGGCAATTCAATGCAGACCCTTGGTATACCTGCTCGTTGCTTTAACAACTCATCCTTACGGGGGATTTCAGGCCCCTCAAATTTTACTTGCTGAAAGAGAACTCATTTTTAAAGACCCAGGCTAATAACAAGCCTCACACAGGAAGCTTATTTCATTGATTAAGGCAGGCTCTGTAAATACAGTGTGTTTATTAATATGGTCTAAGTTGAGATAAAAGATCTAAGAAACGGACCTCAGATTGCCCGAGTCATGTGTGGTATATGTTTAATGAATTTTCACTTAATCATCCATTAATATGCATGATTAAAATAAACATGGCAATTGAACAGCACAGCACTAAATACTGTTCTGAAAGAAAACCACATTGGGTAAACTAAACCAACTGCATTTTTTACTAATCTACACAAGGCATTTCATTTAAAAGGAGAATTTATAGTATTTGAAATATCCTACCACATACTGAAACCTTTAGTGTAACTGCCACTTTCTGACTATCACATATTGAAATACTTGTGGCGCATAGTGAAATTTATGTTACATAGTGTAAAATATATAGTGAAACCGAACTGGTGTATAACGAGACACACATGTGCCTGAAATGACTTATCAGTTCCATTATTTTCTAACTAACTTTATTTTCATGATCAAGTTTTTCTGGGTCAGGAGAAGACAATGAACGGTGACGACCAGGACTTGATATTTAAATGGAAAATGTAGACCCGAACTTGCACAAAAACCCCCTCGAGTGATCCTTTGTCCTTTTCTCAGATAAATTCTAAATGCAAAGTCTGCTAATGGCTACAACATGTCCCTCTTCCGCTGCCAAAGCTTCATTATAAACATCAACATCACCCCAGCCAGGGAAATACCACCAGCCACAAGTGGAGAGGCCAAGTGCCCGATTCTCAGCAGCTTTCACCAGTCTGGGGCTGCCGCATGATGAGGTTGGGGGGGGGGGGGGGTGTCCTTGCAGGAGCACCTAAGCAGGGGTTGGGTCTTTCAGACGCACTCAGGTGTCACGCGAGGGGCCAGCCGGGCATCTCAGACCTGACCTGACCTCCTTCGTTCGCCAGCGCTCCAGCCCTGCTGTGAAGGCCTGCGCTGGAAGGGCAGCTGCGGTGGTGCCTGACCTGCAAAGCTTCCCTCTGCTGCCGAGGTGTGGTTTTGCTTACTTAAGCCGTGTCCTGACTGCGTAGCCAAGCATCCCTGCGGGCAGGGCGGCCAGGCTGGCCGCTGGGTGTGCCGGTGGAGGAGGGCTGCGGCAGCCGGTCCGGCAGCTGCGGGCCTCCCGGCGACCTGGGGCGCTCCTCTGCGGGGCTCTCGTTTGCAATTGGCGCTTGCTCTCCAACCTCAGCGGCGGTTTGGGCTGGTGATGCCACCTCTCGGGGCGGCTGGCTTCGGGGGCGGGGTCATCCCTGTCCTGGTGGACCGCAGTCTTGCAGGTCCCACCCGGCACAGGGCTGCAGGGCTTCTCCTGCCCGGGGCTTCCCAGCAGCCTTGGACCACAAAGGCAGACCTGTCTTTGAGAACTGGCCAAAACCGAAACCGAGATCTCGATGCTGCTCAAGCAAAAGGGGGGCAAATAAACCACAAATCTCACATCTCTGTGACCAGTCCTACTCCCACCTCCATGAAAGGACTTTGGTTTATAGGTGATCCTGGCTTTGCACTAATGTCAGTATGACATACCGCTCAGAAAGCGGTAACGGCAATGAAGCTCCCCCTTTGTGATCTCCCTCAGTAGCCCTAAAGTCAAGGTGTGCTTGTCCCATCCTAGCCGTTGGACTAAACCAAAACAATCTAGGCCATACTGAAATTGAAAGACCTTCCTACTTCATGGCTGTTGTGCAATTGATGCTCATCAAGGATGGTTGGAGGCACAGGACAAAACACACCCAGCGTTTGAGGGTAAGGTATATTAACCTTTCCACTTGGAATGCCTAATTGCTCAAATATTGTGAACATTGTTCAAACTGCCAGATAGGCTAGGGAACAGGCAGAACTGGCGGGACAGCTCTATATAAGGGGTATGACAAATTTATTGGGTAAATTGTATGGGAGTGCTTAACCCTTTTCTCTGTTCTGTTTTTTGTAAGGACAACTGCCAAGTAGAGTTGATCATGACTAATTCATGTGAGGAAATAGCACAGAGAAGTTAAACAGCAACAACCAGTTTGATTTCACTTGTTACCAAAAAGGCCTAACTTAAGTTTCAAAAGTAGAAGAAAGGTAAATTTGCCATTTGCTGTCTATGTTTTAAAAGCTGCCAGAGAGCTTGAAGAGGGGTGTGCTTTGCATGATGTTTTTAAAGCAGGGGGAGGAGACAAACACAGTTTAATTGCCATGTGCACCAGGACAAAAGGTCTCCAAAGTATCAAATTTGTCTTTTGTTTTTTGTTCTTCCCCATTCCTGGCTTTTCAAAACCATTCTAGAGTGTTATGATAGTTATCCTTGAAGCAGGGCAGAGCACATACAGGCTCCTACCTGTGTCAATGCCAAAACTGACCAAGGTGATACAGAAACAATAAATGAGAAATTGCCTTGAGGGAGAAGGAGAAATAAGCAGGAGACATATCTTGAGTACCTGAGTATCAATGCTAACTAACAGCATATTAGGCATGAATATTCACAGGTGGTACAATCACCTACTACCCCATTTTTGACCTGTCATCTCCCCTGAATCAAAGGGCGCGACAACCGTGACAATGAGGGAATGAGGTACTCCTTATTTAGGCAACAAATAGAGGATTATCTCTTCACAGGGAAACAGAAACCTTTCATAGTGCTAGGAGGAAAATTCATACAGTAATGCCAGAATAATAGATTTTTAATCCTAGATTGTTTCCTTGTATGATACAAACTGCTCAGTGTCATCCACCCCTTTGAACCGCTCTGTGACTTCATTGAGAGAGACCATTTCCTTTTGGAAGATGCTCGGTCCAGGCTGAAACATTTCCCGATTCCTTCATCTCTGTGGCTAGATTGTTCTTTAACTAAAACAGAATAGAGCAATACCACTGCATCTTCCCAAAGATACAGAATTACTATTCCTCTGAGCTAACCTCAGTAAGCCAAGCACATGGCTGAGCTTTCATGAGATCAGGTTTAAACACAGTTCTTTTCATTTAAAATAATTGATTTAAATGCCCGCTACATGGGCTGTAGATGAAGACCGTCCAAAATCAGGCTGCCAAGGTGTGCCTGCCCTCTGCTGAGCTAGGTGGGTCCCTGTGAGGAGGCTGAAGGCAAATGGCTCTTCCATACATCAGCAGCTCAGCAATTTTCTCCACATCTATGAGAAAGCTGGCTGTGAGCACTTGCCAGTAGAAGGGACACTGCTAGTGTGAGCCCACTGGTAGATTTTCTTCTCTGGCTGCCTGTATCCAGCCATGGAGATGTCAGTGTGCTAAGAGCACACTGTTGTGCTAAGAGCACCACCTCCACATCACTGCATTTTCAGCTCCAGGGAGAAGTATTAGCAAAGCAAGATGAGTCAAAATAAGGAAAACCCTAAGAAAGGGAGTAATTTGGCAATATTAACCCAGCAGAACACTGAAGGTGACCTTTGCCAAGGTAACAGCAGTATTCTGAGGAGCCACAAAGCATTGTGGGTGTTATAGTTTGTCAAGTCATGGGTGAAATTTCATGCCTCAGAGTAAAGTCAGAGATGAGAAACTCTGGGTCTTTCAACGTGGGAGAGCTGAATCTGTCAAAATAGTTTCACTTTGCGTCTACACACTGTGAAAAGATGTTCTTCCTTCTCTTTTTTTTTTCTCTTCATGTTTCACCTCACCCTTGCCCTTGGTTGTGTTGTGCCCTTGCTTAGGAGGCACCAGGTTTTCCAAAGAAAAGGAGGCATCTCACTGCTTCCCTTCACCAGGAAATCTCCCTCTGGAAAGACTGAAGAAGCCAGTAGCCACCTTCCCCCATGGCCAGCGTGCTGGTAGGGTTAGCAGCACCGGCAGGGAGCCAGGAGTTCCAGGGATGCTCATAGAGAAGGCAAGAGGATGGAGCTGGGCACAGGGTAGAGGAGAATGAGAAAGGTAACAGGGGTGGAGAGAAAGAGCGTGGGGCTCACCACTCACCCATGCTAGAGTACATAACATGTAATGTACCGCAGTGCCGCAGCCAGCAACGCTGGTAGCCTGATCCATGAAAAACACCAATCCTGCTGCGTTGTACTTTGCATACTGCAGGCCAGCTGTGGAGTGGGACAAATCTCCACGGTGAGTGTAGTTTCCAAAACCCAGGAGCCTGCCCGGGCAGCCTGTGAGAACAGTACCGAGGTGGCGAGCTTGGGCACCCGGAGCTTGAGAAAAGCCAGAATTAGCAAGGCTGAGTCAGGCCACTATGGACATGTGTAACATTGTGGTCTTTACAGGATGCACATTAGCTTTGCCCGTGGCCTTTGGCATTGGGAACCAAAAGAGGCTCTATTCTGTAAACCCTACACCTTGTTGGTGGTCTCTGTTGAAAGGAGTGGTGGGGTAGATGGAGGGGCCATCTTGGACAGGGAGCTGGGTGCTACAGCAGGGTAACACATTTTTCATCTTTTCTCATCCAAGGAGGTGTGCATAGCAGGGAGCAAGTCACTTAACCCTAATGTTCACAGGCTGTGAAACAGTGCCCTCTGTTTTGAGGTACTCGGTTTGAAGGCATTGGGGATTCCCGGTTAGGATGAGCTATGCTACAGTCGATAAACTGGGATAAACTGCCCTGGAAAGCCTGGGCACCCAAAGAGAATATTTGTGTTTTGTTTCTTTTTCTGTAGTGCATGGAGATACCACCTCCCTCTCCCACGTGGATGTTGAGTGGCACAAATGAAGCCTTCAACCATCCTCCTGATGGGCCAACTGAAAGCACTGGGGAGCAGCCAGCCCCAGCTGCAGAGCAGGGCCGGATCACAAAGGCCAGACTGATGGAGATGAGTGAAGGAGGGCATCCCTGCCCTGTCCCATTTAGGATGAGCATCTCCCACCTTCTGGAATGAGCAAGGTAGAAGTCGTGGGAAAACCTGTGTGTGATCCTGGGAGAAAGGTCTGCTCCTGAAGATTAATTGTAGACAAGCTTAATTAATTATAGCGTTTCATAACTTTTTGGTGCTTGACAATGCAACCTTGCTTGCGTTGAGCTAATGCAGGGAGAGAGGTGTGCATATGCATGCAAGAGAAAGTAGCATCAGTGTTTTGATTAGAACAAGGTTTCTGTCATACACAGATGCATGTCCAACCTGATGCCTGTTTGTTTTCAAGTGATGTGAAGTGAAGGCCCATTCAGTTTCAGCGCACTTCTTGGGGCCCGGGCTTTTAATAGCGTGTAATATTTCTGGCAATAGATGAGAGCTAATATACTGTGTTTAAATCTGGGATGAGCTGTTGACCAGCTGGGGTCTATGTGCAGAGCTATCGAATGCTTTTCTTTGGATCATGTCAGTTCCAGCCTGCAACCCACATGTGAGTCAGAGGCAGGACTGAGGACGGGCAGAAATAATCCATTTCATCTCACGGAGCCACGACTGCTCTGCAGAGCATTTGGTGCCATTGTCCTCTAACCATTAAACACCTCGGAAAGTTCTGGGTGAGCTGGCTCCTTTTTCAGTGTTGCTTATTGGTCAGTGGTGGTAGGCTTCTGCCCTTCTGTCTGCACCGGAGAGGTAAATTAGTTAAGCAGAGGCATGAATTATTTGCATGCAGCTGAGGTGGTGAATGTGTTATCTTAACAGCAGAAAAGGAAATGGTTCTCTATAGATTATTAGTTACTGAAAAAGCAAAGGCACGTCTTTTGTTGCCACCTTGCCACTGGTCTGACTGTTGAGTAGATACAGATCAATATCCCCCCTTCCTCCTCGCCCCCCTCACTCTTCACGTTTTCACTTAGGATGAGGTGAAGAGGTTTCACTTTAATTTATGTCATTCTTGTATTGCCAAATGCATGCCAGAGCAACCGAACTGGGTGTGATCTGACTCTCTGTTGTGTGCTCTCACATACAATCCCCTTGTGGGAAAATGCTGAGAGAAAATGGAAATTTAAGCGCTGCACCTAGCCACCGCGGTTTTGGGGGTTTTTAATAGTGCTTCATTTGTAAGCTCCTTGGGGCAGAGAGAGTTTTTGTTGCCTTCAGGGTAGTTGTAGCCCATAAGTGAGGATTTCTAAATATTACAGCATTGCAGATGATAGTACTGTAAGCAACTTGTTCTCCCTATGAACAGCAAACACACACGCTGTTAGTGACTGCAGGATCTCAAAACAAGGTACAAATATTAGTCTTACGCCTCAACTTGCACAAGCCTCGCGCCTATTCTACAAATGAGTCGGGCATTGTATGGGAAGGTCAACTGACTTGTTCCACACCTTGCTGCCAGTTAGTGGAGGTACCAATGCCAGGACCCAGCCATCTTGGCTCCTGGGTCCCTGCCCTCGCTGCAAAACTGAGCTCTGGCCTGGAGGTACTGAATTTTCTAGATTGAAAAAAAGAAGCCTTTGAATCTCCATTCCTAGATGAGGTTAAACTCGGGCACATTCCCCTGTGTAGATGCACATCGCTGTGTTTAGATCTAAGCAGTTACACTGAAATTAATTGAAAAAAAAACCCAAACAACAAAAGCCATTAGGAATAGCATCAATAGGAATTCCCAGGCTTGAATACCCCAAATCTGAGGGAAATTATAATCTGTACCTGAACTCTGTGGCTGCGTCCATCCCTAAATATATTTTTTGAGTCAGACTCAGATGGGGTTGAGGTGTTCCCTCGTGGTTAACGGGTGCAGAGGGAGTTGGCAGGCAGGAGGCCAGCAGCAAAGGACTGAAATTTAGGATGTTCATGTCTGATAAGTCTCTTAGGGAGTCCTGCAGGGGTGTATGCTGCTTCAGGAGAATGGGCTTGATGGTCAGGAGGGCCCTTGTTTTCTGGCCTCTTTAATTTGGACGAGTAGCTGAGATTTTGAAGGAAATTGGGTTTCTTCTGTACTCCAGTATAGTCTCTACCCCCGTCACTCCACAGCCTGTTTCTCTGTGGGGTGCTTGCTAGCAGAATAAGGGTAATCCTACCCTAGACAGCAGAATAGCCTGTGCCACGTTGCCCCTGCCCCAGGGGAGCCTGAAACACTTGCACCTGCAGCCACTGTTCCACCTCATCACCTGGGCTGCTTTTTGAGCTCAAGCAAGACAAGTGACTGTGCAGCAAATACCACAGTCATTCCTGAATGTTGTATCTGGGTGGGCATTCAAAACCTCATCCAGATCTGAGGGAGGGAGGAAATCTGCAGATCGCTCTTAGCTGCTATGTAGGTCATACTTCACTTGAGGAACACTTGGGTATTCTACAAACAAGGCTCCCAGTGAAGTGTGGCACACAAGGAGGGTGAGAGGAGTCCGGGCTTCCCTGTGGAACTGTGCTGAGATCCTCCTAAGGGGCTTCAGATCTGGAGGGGGGGGGGGGTATTTTTTGCAGGTTTTGGCAGCAACTGCTGAGGCTGCTGTGGGGTCTCTCTGCAGGGAACAGGCTTTTCTCAAGGGTGATGGAACACTGAGGCTGCTGCATGGGGCTGGACGCCACACAGGACCCCCCCAGGTGGAAGGTGTAGGGATGGAGGATGTGGGGCACTTCTCAGTCACTGTCCACAGGGTGGGCAGCATGAACATAGGTGTGCAGTGTAAAAGATGAGAGGTTTTAGCAAGCAGGTGTAGAGACATCAATGCTGTTTTAGAAATCAGCTGCATGAAGGCCCCTTCTAACCCAAACTATTCTATGATTCTATTACTGATGAGACCATGAGTCTTTGGAGCCAAACCAGAGCTGCTTCCCAAGGGCCATGGAAGTACCTGCCCTGCCCTTCCCTTGCTGCCATCTCTAATCATGGGCACAATTTTGGTCAGTGGCTCGTGGCCAGGCTTTCTCAGGGCCAACCCAAGGAGGAATGGGGACAGGCAAGTGCCTCCTGCACTGCCCAGTTTGCAGCAGCCAGGTTGAGCCCCCGGTGCTGGGGCATTATTGCAAGGGGCCAGAGGAGGTAGTGCAGGGGTTAGGACAGTGAGGTCCCAGCCAGGGGCCTGTCAGGGCACTGCTGAGGTTGCAGTTCTTGAGGTGACTTATTGCCCTGCTGATCGGGGCATGAGGGTTTTGGCAAACTGGGATGCTCTGGTGAGAAAAAGGCCTCTGCTCAACACCTCACTCACCTTTCTGTGCTTAAAGGGTATTTCCCCAGTTTGCAGTGTCAGAGGGCTGGGCACACCATGAAGCTGTTGGATTCTGTGTTGATAAGGCGAGTGCAAACTGTCCCCACAGCTCTTGAGAGCGGAATCAAACTGAAACTTACCACTCGGAGTAGAAAGTGCATGACACCCACAGCCACAGACCTGCACAAATTGCTGCAATATAGGTTAGAAAAGGAGCCCTGTTCTGCACCTGCTGGTCTCATCACACACACACACATAGACACACAACCTTCTCTGCATGACTGAGACCAGCGAGTGCTCCCTCCTGCACACCCAGCTAACTTGTCACAGCTCATTAAGCAGGCAGATTTTCACTTTTCACGTGTCCTTGCTCCCCTTCGCACCTGGCTGCAGTTTCTGCCATGTTTTCAACCTTTGTTTTCTTCGCGACCAGCTGTCGGTAAAGTGAGACCTCCTGGGGACACCACCCAGCCCCGCTCACTGGGGACACCGTGCCTGCCTGGCCAGAAGAAACCCAACCCTAAAGAGTTTCTGCACGGGGCTCTGAGGCTGACAAGAAGAGCAGAGCATGCACAGCATAGAGTAAGGGTGGGGGAAAGTAAATAACTTCCTGTGGTTTGCAGAGGAACAGAGGGCAGAAAGTCCTGACATAGGGAAGCTGGAAACCAAGACTATAGTATCGAAGAAAACCCGTATAGACTGCTCCCTGCCACACTCACCTCTTCCTGCCCAAAAGCTACTCTCTGCTTTGCTCATTTAAATTAGGATTTACTGTGTAGAACACAACTGGTATAAGGCAGGAATGTTGGGGTCTCCCTAATCCTAGGCCCAGTATCACATTGTCATGGCAGAGTCCTCAGCATGAGCAAACCAGGAAAAACGTGCTCAGCCTTTGATTTCACTGTGCATGGTTTCAATATCACAGCTTCTCTTCCCAGCGCAGTGCAGCCACTTTGGGCAGGAATGCTGTAAGGAATCTCACTCAGTCCTTGGATAAGGAAATGATCAAGGACTTGCCTATTCACAATTAATGGAAAAAAAGGAGCTGAAAGCCTTTATTAATCATTGCACAATAAGGAAGTCGCACTGGTTTGGCTCCCTTCAATAGGGCTATTTGGTCACACCTACCTAAGTGGTTTGGCATCCCAACCATCTCCCCACAAAGGAGGGAAGGGCCACTGGCCTGTGTGCCACCAGGATGCCTGGCCACCAGCTCTGAGTGCCCGTCTTCCTTTCCCTGAGAGACAGGCATCTCTTTTTAGAGATGTTCAAGATGCTATGAGTGTTCAAGGCAGGGCTGGAGGGGGCTTTGAGCAGCCTGCTGTAGTGGAAGGCGTCCCTGTTGGAAGCAGATGATCTTTAAGGTCCCTTCCAACCCAAACCTTTTCTGATTCTGTGATCTCTGCCCCACACACACAGCAGCACTGCCCGTCCCCGTGATCTGGGCATGGGTTCCTGCCCCAAGCCATGGCATTGAAAGGGAGCAGAAGTTTATGCATGCCCTGTGCCAGAGATTACCCCCTGCCAGCTGTGGGGGTCCTTGCTGGGAAGGGTATATATGCCTCCCCAGGGTAGATGCCACCTTCCCAGTGACCTCAGCTCCTTGCCCTGCTCCTGGAACCTGGCTTACCTTCCACAGCAGCCGGTCTGTTCAACTCCCAGCTCCAGACAGCAGTTTGTGGCGAGATGTGGTGGCTGGCAGGTACCTCTGAAGTGCCAAGAGACAGATGTTCAGGCACTGGCTTTGGCTGGTGCACGGGGCCACATTGCCCTGCCCTTGGAGACGGTGCTGGGGAGAACTTTATAGTGAGTGGTAGGACATAGACTCATAGAATGGTTTGGGTTGGAAGGGACCTTAAGGATCATCCAGTTCCAACCACATCAGTGCAGGATGAGACAACACTTCAGGAGCCCTTCCTTTTCTCAGGTGTCTTTCCTAGGTGACCTTTTGCAGAGATGAATGGCCTGAGCCAGCAGAGCCTGTGCTGCCTGCAGGTGGAAAGCATCATCTAATCATCCCTGCACCGGGTTTTCCTGCACAGGCTGCCATCCAACTTGTGTCAAGCTGCAAGCTATCACAGTGGAGGCAAGGAGGCTTGGTTTTGAAGCAAAAGGTGATGTCTGCTTGCATGTGCCTCTAAGCAATTGACATCTGACCCCTCTAGCATGGGACAAAAATGCAACCTTGCATCTGCAGCAGGCACTGAGGCAGCAGTGGCTTGGTGAGGATTAGAAGCTTCTCACCACTTCGGCCACCACTGTGAACTGCTAGGAAATCTTCCCCAGCCTCTTTTATAAATGAGCAAAAGCGAAGTCATGCATCTTGAGCCTTCTGCCACTGACTCAGTTAGTGCAAATGTGGCCTTAGTGGGTGTGCAAATGTGCTACCTGCCTGCACTTCCACGTGCTGCTTGTGAGAACGGGAATGGCAGATGCTGGCTGCAGGTTGGCCCTTCATCAGCATCCGATGAGAAATTGAACACCTGTGCTTTTGGGAAGTGTTGTGTCTTTGGCAAAAAGCCATGTTTCTGTGCTCTTCAGGTAGGACTGGGTAATGCTGAAGTCACCAAAATGCCCACCTGTGCCTACACATCCCAGGTCAGGCAGCTGCCCTTTCCCTGCCAGTGTACTCCGGCCAGTCACAGAGGACGAGGGAGACCTCACTCTCGCTGCAGGGCAGCTCCCTGATGCTGGTGGTGAGTTTTGCTTAGGCCACCATGACAGCTTGTGTTTTGCAGATACCTGCCCCATTACAGGCACATTCTTCGGCTGCACCACATCCACTCAGACCTGGCTCATGCAGTAATTAGCCAAGTGTTTCCTGGCTGCCTTTAATTACAGCCACAACTATTTCCCTCGCTTTAACGTAATGCCTCTGAACGACAGCAAAGGTTTCGGGCTGCATCCCGTGCAGTCCCAGCACGTTGGCACACAGCCGTGCACTGGCAGCCACTGATTTGAACCCGAAGGGCTCATACCCCCTCAGTGAGTCACGTTTTTCATTTTTGACCTCGAGGCAGTAATTGCCGCACTGGGAATTAGCGGTGTCTCCCCCAGCACTCAGCTGAGAGGCACTGTGCTTTATAAACCAGCCAGAAGGGAGGGATCACATGATCACAGAATCATTCCAGGGTGGAAGGGACCTCTGGGATCATCCAGTCCAAGGTGAAACCTCCTGTGTTTTAGTCTATGGCCATTGCTCCTTGTCCTGTCACTGGGCATCACTGAAAAAAGTCTGGCACTATGTTCCTGGCACCCACCTTTGGGATATTTACATGCATTATTGAGATCCCCTCTCAGCCTTCTCTTCTCTAGACTAAGTAGGCCCAGCTCTTGCAATCTCTCCTCATAAGAGAGATGCTCCAGACTCCTGATCATCCCTGTGGCCTTCCACTGGACCCCCTCCAAGAGCAACTTGTCTTGTACGAAGGAGCCCAGCACTGGACATGGTACTCCAGAGTCCTCAGAGGCCTCACCAGAGTCCAGCAGACAGGGAGGATCACCTCCCTCTACCACCTGCTGGCCACACTCCTGATGCACCCGAGGGATCATCCTTAGATCTGTGTTTGAGTCTATCACAGCTGTATTTCACCCTGTTCAGTGGCAAAACAGCTCAGCTGGCAAAGCCCCAGAAAGAAAATGCATGTTGCCTTCCTGGCCACATCATGCTTGGTCCCCACCATTTTCACACTGGTGGCAGCAAGGTACACATCGAGCCCATCTGCTGGGGGTGCACGGCCTTGCAGGGCTGCACTTCATGGCGGCATCCAAAAGGAGAAGCTTTCCTGCCCTGCACCTTGCTGAGGCTGTTAGGGTTAGCTGACCTGGTGGTGCTGTTGCCACGGCTGAAACCTGCTGTATTTCTGGTTGCAGCACATGCCCTCAGTGGCTTCCAGCGGCTGGGGGCTGCCAGAAACCCAGGCAGCAGCTGCCGGGCTCGGCCTTGCAAGGCTGTGATCTATAACGTGCATTGTCTTTTTATGTAATGTGTTTTATTAAACATCTTCTAAAGCTTACAAGTGTCCCCAGGACATAACTCTCCAGCACAACGCAATGCTCTGCCAAGAAATGAAGCATGATTTATGGTGGTAACGGTTATCCTCTGCTTTTCTTAAAAAACATTATTACAGCAATAGCTCTGTCGAGTACAGGACTGTAACATGCTGCATTTGGCACGTTTATGACAACAGTGCTCTGGTTTTCTTAACTCCACAGCTCGGTGCTGGCAGTATGTCAAATTCTTGAGACAGATGTTTAAATGAATTTCTTAAGAGGACAGTGAAATACTTCTAAAACATCATACGGCGCTGAGTGTCTCAATATGAGCAGCAACATTATTTCTTTAGCGTGCAGGTAGGGCAGGGCAGCACATGGCCTCTCTGGTTTCAATCTCACAGTAAATAATGGAAGTAGCAAATGTTGAATTAGCTTTCTGGGCATCCCAGCCTGCTGTAACTTTCTGGTCAAGGTGGGGGAATGAACGGGTGCTTGATCTGCTGGATATCATTCACATTCGCATATCCTTTGTGAGCAGTGAAAACAGATCCCCATTTGTTTTGAATGCAGTTCCCACCATGTTGATACAGGACTAAGTGGTCTCACGCTGACATTGTGACTGTGTCATTGTGGTCCCAGTGGTTAGGGTTTCAGACCAGAAATGACAATCATTTGGGAAAATGTAAATGAGAACCCTGCTTGCATCTCTGCGAGGCACAGAGCAGTCGAGAATTTCCATCAAAACACTGAAAATTCTTGGGGTTTAAAAAATTAATCATCCCATTTTGGTTTTTTAGGTACTGGCTAAGGCGAGGAGAGTGCTGTAGTTAACAAAGCCAGGGTGCTCAGCTCTGGCACAGCTGCTCGCAGCTTTCCAGCACGGAAAACCAGGAACCCACAAAGGCAGAAGTCGGCATTGTCGGAGACATCATCGCCCTCGGCACAGAGTGTGTTTGCGGCTGGGAGGGGAGGGCGCCCCACAACGAGGCTCCGCAGGCATGCTCTCGGATTGAAGACAAGGGAAGCATTGGTAAAGCAATGAACACTTATATTTAATTTACATTTGACAATTTGCACATAAATAATGATGTAAACCAATACGTAAACATAGGATAGTTTGTTGTCCTAGCAAAGTAAAAAGCTGTTAACTTTGGTCAGAGTCTTTCTTAAGAGAGACAAAAAAAAACCAAACCCCAAAACACTGTTGATTGTTGCTACATTCACATGTAAAACGTCTAAGGGAAGGGGGAAACAGTAAAGAGAAGTAACAATTCTTAAAGCTGACGCATATAAATTCTTGTAAAATTTGTATCAAATACAAGAAAGCACTACAGGCAAATAATAGGAAAAGTGTGTGTCCAGTGACAGAGTAGTGATACTTTGGTTTATCCTACAAGTAAGTACTATATTTATGAACTATTGCTACATTTAAAAGATGTCAGCCTCACAATTTGCAGGAGTGGAAATGTAATGAACTGTAGGTAGTCCTTCAAAAGCTGTGTGGAGAGACTTGTATTTTGGGATTGTCTGGTTTTAAACTGAAGGCATTAAAAGGAAGTTTGCTGATAAAAACCAGCGAGTCCTGGATTGCTGCAGTGGGCTACTTTAACATTCGTAAGAATATAACCCGGCAAAAAGGTACAGATAGCAGGAGGTGTGCAATAATGCTACTTACAGTTATGCAAGTTAACTGGGCAACTTGTTCATGGCAGGGTAAAACAAGATGAGGGGTTCATCCCACTGGAATTCCATCCTGCCCTGCACCACACACAGGTCCTATTTGGCTTCTGTTCAGGTTCTTTTAGCTACGTTTTCTGGCTCTGTTTGGTCAGTGACCGCCCACCTCCTTCCCTGCTGTACATGCTGCTGGGAGAGCAGGGGAGTGATGGGGGACCCCTGTCCTGCAAACAGGGTCGTTCCTGCTGTGACACCATGTGTGGGTGACACTGCTCGGGTAAGGTGTTTGCAAGCTGGGGCTGCACCCGGAGTAAACGCCTTAATACAACCTTCTCCTGGGTTTGAGGTCATTGGTAATATGCAAAACCGGATAACATCTGATTTTCACGCTTAGATGAAAAATAGGTTTTATTACATGGTTTGGCTCACAACTTAAGTGGTATAAATATATATACATATACATATATAGTATAGTGGTATAAATATATCTATAAATATACATGTATCTTTGCTACACCTCAAACGTCATCTTTGGGCTTAGCAAAACAAAAAGATAAAAGGACGCGTATTCTATCTTTCCCTGTGCACGTTTTGGTTTCTTCTCTAAAGTAGCAAAGCATTTAGATAAAACAGCATTGTCTGCACCACTGGACACAAGCACTGAGGTAATTGTTGTTCAACAACTTTGCAATGCCCTTTTCTTCTTTAATTAAATTAATCACAAAATGTACAAATACTGAGAAAAATCTGAATCATACATGAAGGAAGGAGAAAAATGTATGTGCCAGGAAAGGACTTTGTTCCCCACTTCTACCCAGACAAAGTGGGAGAGGAAAATACAAGTAAAACTGAACCCCTTCTTTCCCAGGGAATCTGACCATTTTTTTTATTTTTTTTTTTTATCCCTGGAAGGCTCTGGCCAAATGAAAAACAAAAATAAAAGGAAAGAGAAGAAACAAGTCTGACAAACCCCTCCTTTTAGGCAGATTAAGAATATTTGTCTGTTTGCTTTTAAACTGCTTTTGGAAGAGTGTAGGTGGGATTGTTGGAAGAGCCACTTGAAGCTCATGCATTCCTTTGGTCATCAAGTTACACAATGTAAATGTGGGGCTAAATGACGACACAACAATGTGGCGCTAAAGCTGTGTCCTAAAAACCTGTGGGATCACTGTCCATGGCAGGTGGGTGTTTGCTGTGCCACATCTGCTCCCCACACAGCTGCAGGGAGAAGAACCTCTCTCCTATCCTCAGAGAGCCAGGGGCAGCACTTTCGTCCCTGCTTGCTCCTACTCTGGGTTGGTTCTTTTTTTGTTTCCCATTCCAATTCCCAGCAGGGTGATTTGCACATAAAAGTAGACAGTGTTTTTTTCAAACCAACAGATCTAGGATTCTGCATGTCTAATGTCCAACTTTGGCAACAGGAAAAACCACATTTGTTTAAAAGACATCGGTACATAAAACACATTTACGGAAACCCCAATCTTAGGTTCTTGAAACAGATGTGCAGGAAAAAAAAAAAGTATCTACAAAGAATGGCCATAAAACAAAAATTAAAAACATTTAAAGTAAAAATTACAATGAATTTTCCAGTCATTGTAAACATTTTCCTAATTATTGCTTTTAGAACGATTAATTGCATAATAAATTATGAAGTACTATTATTGAAAAAATAATTACGGATAGATGATTGTCTCTTAATAACTGGCGAGGCAATGCACAGTCCTTTGCCCCTTCTTATGCCCTGAGAAAACAGTAACTTTGGAGTTCCTTGTTTCAGTGGGAGAGAGTAGAGAAACTACTGTAAGCCAAGATTGCTTTGCAGCATTGAAACTATGTACAAGCAACTGCTACAGGCACCCTGACTTGCCAAGTCATAAATTAAAAAAAGAAATCACTTTGCCGAAAAGTCTTAAGGGTCCATTGGTTCAACTGTTTCTTGCTTGACCTTTACAGGTAACAGAGGTAGTGGGTGACCGTGAGGCAACTTCATAATTGACATATCTGACGACTCGTAAAGGTTGCATCCTGAGGAGATAAGTCCATTTCCCAGGTTCCTCTGTAGAGAGACTTTCAGATTCGCTCCTTCCATTTCCCGCCTGAGCATGGTCAGTATATCCTTTTCCACGATCGATGTTAAGTCGATACTGTCCTCCACTTCTTCCAACTTGTCGGCATTGTCACTGATGTCAAACTTCTCTATCTCCTCGTTGATTCGATTCAGCTCCTCCATGGACAGGCCAGAGGCAGGGGCGACAGGGCAGTTGCCCTTCAGGTGGACCTGGAGGCTGCAGAGGTGAATGTAGCTCTTGTGGCAGTGGATGCATTTATGGGGACGTTCCCGGGTGTGAAGACGCTTGTGCAGCTTCAGGTGCACAAACTGGGTGAATTTGGCTGGGCAGAGCTTGCACTGGTAAGGCTTCTCTCCAGAGTGGAGCCGCAGGTGGGTTTTGAGATTGCTGGTGCTGCTGAACCGCTTGTGACAAACCTAATGTGGGGGGTTGGCAGAGAAACAGTGAATGAATGGGAGGGGATTTTATGGTTTAAACCACAGACACCTAGGAGGAGACGGCAGGATGAAGCAGAAGCTTTTTATATATTTTATATATTTTCATGCTTTCTCACAAAGGGGAAAAAAATCCCCACCTTTTGTATTTAAGTATTGCTGAGCAGCATTTTGAGCATGGCCGATGGCAAAACTGTATCAGGCAGATGTTGCTCTAGCAGGCTAAGGGCAACCCTGCCGTCTCCCAGGTGCTGCTGCACCAGGGCTGGAAGTGGCTGTGATACAGACTCCATCCTTGAGCAGCCAAGGGTTGGTCACAGAGCCCTCCCTGCATGCTGCCCAGCCGTCCCTTTGGGAACATTATCTCTGCGGTGTTACGTACCTGACACTCGTGGGGTTTTTCTCCTGTGTGTACCAGATAGTGCTTCTGGAGGTGAGCCAGCTGTGTGAAGCCTTTATTGCAAGTCTGGCATTTAAATGGTCTCTCTCCGCTGTGCACTCGGAGGTGCACCTAGGGAGAAACAAAGCAATTAGCAGTTTGCAGTCTTCAGTACTGTAACAAAAGTATTTTCAGGTGTTTCCCTCAGTTAGCAGAAGACTCCCATTGCCAAAACACAATGTTATCTAGTTAATTAGGTGGTGTGGGTATTAAAACACTGTCTTTACAGCCATGGTTTCTTGCTAGCGGTACCATATTAAGCCCAGACTGATACACAGCCTAACAAGCATGGGAGGTCCATCCCTGCTTTTGCTAGATATCCTACAGGGATAAATCAGAGCCTTCCAAGAAGGCTTGTGTTTCATCTTCCGCTGCCTACCTTCAGATTGGAGAGCTGGCCAAAGGTCTTCGAGCAAACGTTGCATTCGTACTTGATCTTTCCGTTCTGCTTCTTCAGTGGGTATGGGAGGGTTTTGTAACCGGTCACATTCCTCTTACTTTTAATGAGATTCATGGCTTCTTCACCACCGGTGGCAGCCAACACCACTGAGGTAGGTTTAGGTTGCATTATGTGTTCTGAACTGGCTGCTGTACCAGCTGTGGGTGACCCGCTGGTAGGGCTGCATGGCTTGTCCTTCATGCTGGCAGCGGCGCCCGTGACAGAGAAGGCACTGTTAGGTGCTGGTATGAGGAAGTCTCTCGAATGATCAGGCTGCAGCAATCGACGGCCTCCTTCACTGGGCAATGAACTGGGGAGTGTGGTGGGGTTCAGCATATGGTGGGAAAGGCTACCTCCACTGAGCAGGTTGCCATAGAGAGGGTACATCCTTGGGAAGAGATTGAAATTGTTGATGCCATTGATATTGTTCAAAGCGCTCAGGTTACTACAGCTCATATTGAATGGAGGTATCAGGAATTTGGGGTACTGGGGGTTATAGGATGGTAGAAAGGCAGGTGGGAGGTGGCCAGGGGGTGCATATCCAGGATAAGACCCCAATCCTTCCGAGCCATATGATCCATTCAAGTAAGAGTATGGCTCTCTGTGCTCTTGGGAAGTGGGTGCCAGGGGCGAAACCGTGACCCCTGGACTGCTGTGAGGGCTTGAACTTTTTAAGCTTTGGTCTGGGCTGCTCCTCCCAGAAGGACTCGGTGTAGTGGATGTCTGGATGGGTGAGTGAGTAATGTAGCTGGGTCTGTCCATCCCGTATGCTAAGGAAGCTTTCAGATAGTCTTCTGGAACATGAGGTCGGATTGGGTAGACAACTCGAGGGAAGAAACACCTCTCTGGGCTATAGTTCTTACGCAAATCATCCAAGTCTTTTTCTGGGGTAACTGGTGAAATGTTGGTCTGGAAGAAATCTTTTCCTTTTGGAGGACTGGATTCCATTTTCAGGATTTCTTTCACACTGTGCTCCTTCTTTGGGATGCTTTTCTGATAGAGCTCGTCTTTATCAGCACTGTGCTGCTTTGGATTAACGTTGGTTTGTGCTGAAATATAAAGATGAGATAATAATTATTTAGATATGCCACTGTTGTTATCTCTTTTCAAAACAGAATCTAACTCCCACAGGTTTTGTGGGGAGGAAGAGCCACTCTCAGAGATGAGGAACCATTTCACTCACAAAAAAACCTGATTTCTGTGTGAAGAAATGCCTGCTGGTAGTAAGTGCTGATAAACAGCATTGTTAATTTAAGGGATACCAGCCAGTACATACAGATCTGGATGATGATTCATTTGCAGAATGCTAGTCTCCACTTTACAAACTGATTTCACCTTTCTTTCCCCTTAAATTTGACTAATTGAACGTCCGTTTAGGCAGTATTTCTAATAAATGTGGTAACAAGCATTTGTTCACAATACAGGTTCAACAGAAGGACTTTGCAGAACATAAGCTCCTAGAAATGTTCCTCAGTAAAATAACAAGGCATGACAAATCGGCTTTTGCCAAACCACAGCAGTCACTTCACCAGCCAGTTCAATTACTTACAGTACCGAAAAAACCATGGCTGGCTGGGATGAAAGCTGCCTTCAAAGAGAAGGTATTCTCCATCAGTAAACAGATCATTACTCATTAAATATACTGCTTAGGAATATCTACAACAAAGCAGACTATTTACTGCAGATTTCTGTGGCATTCGGTCTATGCAAAGCTCCTCTGCTTACAGCTGCACTTTATAAAAAAAACTGCTGAAGCAAAGCAAAAGGAAGCAAGAGCAGTTGGCTCCAGCTTAAGCTGAAATGTACTTTAAAGAAAAAAAAATAAAAAGGAAAAAGAAATATTTATTTAGAAGGAAATAGAAGCTAGCATCCATTTGGCTCAGTTCAGCACATACACTGTTTATTTGTATTCAAAGGCTCGACCTTGTTATCTGGACATAATATAATCTGAAGAGTGTACTGAAAGATGTCTTCAATAGAAAAAGAAGTATGCTTTTATCTCATCTCCCACAGTTAATAGTTATATAATCACAAAATGATGTCTTGTAAGATATTTTATTACAGGGCAAAAACTACAAGAAGGTTTCATATTCATGCTTAGTTATGTGCAAAGTTTTCCATCAGGAGGTACAAGTCAATGCCGCTAAGTATGCAACTTGAAAGTATCACAGCCCTGCAGCCAAGTTTCTGCTTCTGTGCCTGACTGATCTTACTTCACTAACTGAGGTGAGAAACTCTTATTTCTGATCTTTGGAGGACCAGCTGAACCCAGTGAGGAAGATGGGAACAGGCAATGACCACACCACTTTCAACACTGATTCTTTGCTTGACTATTCACTACCCTGATGGAATCTATCATTTGGCAACATTACCCTATAAGGCAAAGAAATGGCCATTTATAAAATGTACCCAAAAAAACCCAGCTGCTTTCAAAGCATGCTCCTTCTCACAGCAACCCATTTGTACAGTAGCATCCTTCTTGAAATGCTGCTAGACTAGCATCAAGAAAATTTAGTTTTGACATGTGGGCAGTTTGTGTATTTCCAAGTTGCAATGAAATGCTACTGAACATGGTTATGTTCAATAATATATTTAGGATAAAACATAGGGTGTGTTGCAATGCAAGCACATACGCATGTAAGTGTGCAGAGAGCTTCCCAATGTCTTCTTTTGATGTTAAAGCTTAATGCAAGGCTGTTTCAGAAATAAATGAATAGTATGTTGTGTTGAATGGCATTAAAAATCATCTCCTTTCTTCGATAGTTTTCTCTGTACTTGTGGACTGGTAACTCATTTTCTGAACGTCTACCCGGATTTTTGGGTGTAACATAGACAATATGTTACACTCACTAGATTCAAGAAGCTCCACAAGGGCACTTTGCATATTATCTATATCTTCTTATCAGCAAACATCCCCGGTGATGCTATCAGCACTGGGAAGTATGGAGACAGGGAAGTACTGAAAGATGGGTGGGGGCGGGAAGTAGGACTTGTGAAGCCTCGCAGAAGAGAAAATAAATAAATACCATGTTATCAGGACCGTATCAGTTTCTCAGTGGGGTCTGTCAAGCAGGAAGTTCAAATTGACACTTTTCTCTCTTAAAGAAAAAAGCTCCAGGGGGAGGGGAAGAGGAGGAAGTGCTGGCGCTGCTGGAAAAGTGATAGAGAAACCAGGACTGCTCCAGCGGGAGGAACGCTCCTGCTGTCACCAGGTTAAACCTCAGGGTGGGGATGTACGTGCCTTACACGCCGGAGCAAGCCCGTGAGTGACAGAAAGGAAGCTGAGAATGTAACTTTGTGCAACAGGCCCATGTCCCCACATGACAGACTAAAGGTAATTGCTCTTTCCTTCCCTTCAAAGTGTTCCCAGTAAAGCCTTCCCTCCTACTAATTTCCATGTGCAGAGAGCACTTGCAACGTTTAAAGATTATTTTTCAAGTCTAACTGTGATTGCTTTCTTCAGTTCGCTATCTTTGGTCTGTAATTGCTCCTTGGCTTTTTCCCCTATTACCTGAGCACAATGAACCCTTGAAAACACCAGAGATATCAAAACATAAACAAGTGTGTCAGCACTGTGTAAAATAAGAGAAGGTAATGTTGAGGGCCAAGGAGAGGTTCTTATGTTTTATACTGAACATGGATTTAAACCAGGGCTGAGACTGATTGAGAGGTTTACAACCTTTCTCATTGCTCTTAAAGGAGCCATATACTTCAAAGTTAAAGAGATGTATTTCTTATAAATGGATTTTTGTTTTAAAACTTGTGATTTCAGATTTCAGTTCTTACCCATCACGTCTTCCTCTCGCTCTTGAAATGCATTTCTCCCTCCCACCCCCAAACACATATATACACACTAAATATAGGCACATACTCTTCCAAGATCTGTCTTTTTTCTGTGGCTGGCAGGACACACAGAAAAGAGGTTCATGACAAAACAAGAACAGTGCAGCTGCATTTCTAAGTTACTGATCTGAGGAGAGAGAGAGGAAAAAAGAAAGAAAAAATCCAGATGTGCCTCTTTAAGGAGCCTGATCCACTTCTAATCAAGGTCAACAGATTATTTGCTCAGACCTGAGATTAGTGAGCGTGCGCAAGAGGCAAAGGAACAAAACTCATGTTACTTTTAAGTATTAGTAAGACTTGAGTGGAGGGGCTGCCTGGAGTCACTCCAATGTGGGTGTTCCAGCTACACCCTGCTGCATAGCTGTAGGCTTTGCTCTCATTTCTTGTGCTCTGAGCTGTAGCCTGAGAGAGACTTCAGAAAAACAATAATGTTTTCTTCTAAAACCCCGAAAAACGGTTGTAGGCAGGCAGTAATCTCAATAGTAATTTCAGGAGTGAGACGGTACCGAACACTTTGGAAGGTGGAGATTAATTATGCCGATTCACATTTTCGGTCTAAATTAAGCACCAATTTTACTAGTAGAAAGAGAACCTCGAAGTTGTGAAGCAGGCAAAACAAAAAGTGTTCCCACTCAAAATGAGAACAGAGACTAACATTCAGAAGCATATAATCTGATCATCTGTTTTCTGAATGTGTCCAAGGCAGGGTAACATGCCTTTGAAAACATTCTGCCCTGAGAAGGTCTTTGAATAATCTTTTGAATAATAATAAGCCTTCGAATAATCCTCAGTATTAAGCCAAATTCAGCTCCCAAATTCTGGGTTTGTGAAGACAACTTTTCATATCATTTCAAAAAAATTTTCCTGAGCCCTTTTGAAGATTCCAGGAGGCACTTTTTTAAGCAAGTGCAGGTATTTCCTCTCAACCCAAACAGAAAGGCTTCAAAACCTGAAAGTGAAACTGCCCATAAACAAAAGGGAAAGCAAGTGGCAGAGTTTAGCTAACGGCCAGCGTGTCAGGGCCAGCAGGAAAAAGAAAAGAATAAATCACATTTAAAAACAAGCATTGAAAAGTTCATCTGCACAGAATCCAAAAGGTTTTAAATAATTTTAGATTAAATTTAACCTTTAAATTCAACCTTGTTAAACCTGTTAGTGAAACAGAAAGATTGCCAAATGTTTCGCAAATATGCAAACTGCATTCCCCCAACTCAAACTCTTTTCCTGAAGCTTGACCAGAAGATGTCACCTGCCCATACTTGACTGAGGAGACAAACACGACATGAGCAGCAGGAAATTGCATCATGTGATTGCAACAGGTGAACATTATTATCAAATAGTCACCACCTGAGTCAACGTGTTTGGAGGGATTTATTTATTTATTTTAAACTGTTACCCTCTCCACCTTCCATCCCAAAATAATCCTCCTACGATGAGGTAAGAATGAAATGCTGAACTATGTGGGACTTGCAAAGCAAATTTCCTCGGTCTGTTTGCTAGCCCAAAAATATCACAGACTAAAATACAATCTGAGGGCCCAGATGAATGAGGTTAAGCAGCACATTTAACAAACTAATTACCAAAATCTGATTTCTTGGCCAGCAGAATACAGGAATCTTGTGCCATCGCACTTAAAACCATTTACTGGACAAGGGCACCATCTGAGGGTGACATCTCAAATCTTGATAAACAACTGTCATCATAGAAAGCATCAGTGGCCTCAAAACACGCAGGAAGGGGATGGAAATTATTTAAAACAAGACCGAGTCTCCACTGCTGGGATAATGCGGAGTCTTGCCTCTACCACTATTGTGCAACTCCTTGCATGCACTTCAACATCCACTCCAAGTTACGTAGCTCCACTCAGATCTAATCATGGCTGTGAAGGTAGGTGTGTGCTTCAGCGTCTGAAGGACTGGGTCAAAGGCCCCACTTCAAGAAAACAGAGGACAGGCTTAAACCCATAACTAAGTACATGCCTAATTGCTGTCTTGAATCTGGATGCTTTCCTTCTACAGCACAAATGAACTAACGCTGGAGAAGTTTCCTTTAATTTGAAAGTTTGCTGGTACAGAGGCAAGTAGATGTTATGTGTGGATGTGTAAATATACTTATGCTCTAAAGTGGTAGTTCTCTCATTTTTGAGGCCACTAATTACAGGAAATAAAGCCAGAGAAATTCTCTGATACATTCTTCCCTGGAGGCCCATCCCGCTCAGGTGCTTAAAGAGGAGCTGAGGTGCTGAACTCCAAGACCGTGATCCCCAACCCCCTGAGGCACCTAAAGCAGCTACCTATATTTTAAGTTGGCAAGACTGGAAGCTCTCCGTAGGTGTGTGTGTCCCAGGTGGTCTCTCCTGTGCTGGGCTGGGCAACCAGCCAAGGCACAGCGCTTCTGAAGCCTCCCGCGGGCACCGGCGTGCTCTGCACACCCTAGACACAGTGAAGGGAGGGAAGGCGCGGCCATGGGATGGCAGTGCTGCTACCCCATGTGTCCCGGCAGGAGGAAGCCCTCGCTTCAGCCTGTGGTGGGACCCCCCTGTGACTTTCTTTCCCTCAGAGGGTGCCAAAGAGAGCAGCCAGGGGCTGGGAGAGGCGGTAGTGCTTGCCTGCTCCTCTGAGGGAAGCCACGCCATGTTAAACACAGAATTGTTAATGACCCATTTGACTGGAGAGGGCTTTCCTGACTTTCTAGCAGGCGGAGGAGGTGAGCAGCAGGAGGCCCCCCCCAAGCAAGACTGTGTTAAGATAATCTGATGGGGCAAAGCCCCATTTCTGCAGCAGGGGCAGGATGTCAGTGATTCTGCGCTTTATTCATAGATGAATGCAGTGTGAGGGCATCTTGGCCAGGCTTACAAGAGAAAGAGAGGCTGGAGAGGCAGCAGGATGATCACTAATTTTAGGTTTAAATAGAAGAAGTAGCCTGAGAGGAAGGGGAAGAAGAAAACTGAACAGTGCTGACATTCACTTTAAACTCATCTAGTTCCAGTACTAATGCTGGAAAAGCCATCCCTGCCTTCCACTGTTGCTGCAGGGCCTTCAGCAAATAAGCATCTTTGTGAGACCTCTGGACTTTTTTCTGTACTTTTCAAGAAAAGTACTTTAGAAAACCTCATTCCTTAAGGTTCCTGTAGGGTTTCTGGCCCAGCTGCAGGCTTTAAGCCTGAATGCGTTTGTGACAAAGATAAAGGGGAAAGATGTAGAAAGTGATAACTTTTTCTCATTTCTCTGAACTGCTGTTTTCTTTTGGTGGAGGGGGGTTAACCTAAAATTTCTAAGTGGTTTAAACAGAATTATCTTCTAAAAGAAGAAGGAATATTTCCATCTCAGCATCTGGAAAGACTGCTCTTTTGAATGTTAAAGCTGAGCTCCACAACTGTTGCTCAAGATCCTGTCTCTAGACCCATGCATAGAACCTGCTTTTACTACAATGGATCATTCTGCTCATGTTCAGACACCCCTAGTTTTGAGCTGAGTAAAAGTAACCATGGAACTAGTTGACACTTTACAAATACATTCCTCACTACTTCTGCAAGGCAACCTGAGATGCCAGCAGATGCAGGAAACAAGAGGCTGCATTTGTGTTTCCTCCTAGCTAGTGGCCAAATGTGTCTGGCTGGATCTTTGCAAACTCCTCATCCACAGAAATCCTTAATGCTGTTGTGTCATCCCACCTGCAAGTCCCAGTGAAAAGCCAACAGTTCATCAGATCAGAAAATAAAACCACCCAGCGAGTTGACACATGTGCAAAGATGACAGAATTAGTGAGATATTTGTTGAACAGGGAATATAGCAGCACAGGACATCCTCTCCCTCGCTTTCCTCTGCCACTAAGAGAAAGCACATTTTCTTCTGTAATTTGCAGGGAAAGACCAAAAACTGGTGAAAGGATGACAGCCATGGAGAACATATGTACTCTTGATTAACGTGAA